TATATTCCTCCCCCAATGCCCATAATAAGTTAAAGATATAAAATGTGTGATATTGCGGTAAATAATATATATATATATATATATATATATATATATATATATATATATATATATATATATATATATATATATATATATATATATATATATATATATATATATATATATATATATATATATATATATATATATATATATATATAAACAGATGTAGGCCAATATTTCCTAGTGTCATTATTTTTACCTTAGTTCAATAATTAAATATTTAAATTAAAACAATAAAAAATTATTTGAAAAAAGCTAAATTTAAAAGAGCCACAATTTCTGGTTATTCTAATTCATCAAAGAAATGCTGTCTAAAGCCAACAAAGACAACGATAAATACATGAATTACCCAAGAAAATTGAATAATAAGAAGAAACCCTCAAGTCCGAAGTATATCAGAGGAAAAATATAATTACCTGAAAAATTTTAATTCTACTCACCGTTTTAATTCTCTTGGAAGACGGACCATCATGGCCGCCAGTCTCCGTGGCTCCCTGAACTATTAGACCCCACGTCTCCATGGCTACCATATAATTTACACCACACCGCCGCCTCCGTCACCACTACTAACCACTACACCATACACCCGGTCACACCTATGAGAGAGGTTCCTTGCCACCACCACCACCACACCTGCACCTCGACTATTGTGTGAGAGAGGGGAAATATTTATTTTTTGAACCCTTGAATGTGGAGGATGAAGCTTCGAGTCTCAGAGTATCCGATTCACTGGGTTCATTTACGGTTCATTTTGGGTTGGTTCGGATGGTTATTTTTGTTCATGGAAGGATATAATATTGTCTGTTTATAATACAACTTCGGTAGTTCTTATGAATTGGTTTTGTAGATTTGTAATATATTATAGATTATAAATAGAAGCAACCGTAACAATTGGTATTTATAAAGTTTAAAAAATATAAACTAAAAAATGTGGTTGTGGTTCCCTGAGCATTTATTAATTTCAGAAAAAACTCAAAATACCGACTTTCTGAATAATATCAATAATATAAACATCTACATATTACACTCATTTCTATACTTATGCAAAATAATATATATATTTTTCACAATATATGTAACACTAATAATCCTAGAAAATTGACGTGATAAGCTTTTAAAAGCACTAAATCAACATCTAACACAGAAGTGACTTGGCTTTTCCCCATAGCTAAAATTTCTGAAGGATTCTCGTTGACTTTAAGACTTCAACAACTATGTCATTGTCGGGGCTCAGGGTCATCAAAGGTGGTAAGGAACCTCTTGAAAACACTACGTTCATTTATCAAGATTTTTTAATTTATTTATCACATTTTTATCATTTTTTTATAAACTTTTCCGTCACCTCACCGAGTCTATAGGAAATAGGGTACTGCGGGGCGCAAGTTGTGTTGAGATAAAGATAGCTCTCTCTCACCCCGGAATGACACCTTCACACCTTCCTCACTACTCTCAACAAATGCCTGTCTGTCTGTTTATCTGTCACTGAGGTACTACATGTATCACTGACATATTTCTATGGGCACTAGGTGAGCTTTGACAGCAGCAGACCACAGGAGAGAGAGAGGGACGAGGCGACACGATAAAACAATAATGTTCCTTCACAAAACGATACCAGCGGCTTCCACGACAAGTGACACTGCTCTACCCAACACCCCGTTTTCTATGCCACTTAAAGCTCTTTCTCTCTCCACCTGAGGCCACCTATTGTTAGAGGCACCACTGGCTTTGGCTACCACCACCTAAATATATTTTTCACCTTCCTACCGGCACCATGCCTGAGTGCAGTGGAGTGGATTCCTCACTCACAGGTGGGAGGGAAGGAACGAGTTGTGAGAAAAAGTGTACCACAAACACGACCTAATTCTAACCTAACCTAACCTAACCAGATCGCCAGTCACAGTTCATCACCACAATGTTTAGTGTTTATGAAGCGTGAGAACAATAGCTGGGGCTACAAGGATGAACTCTCACTCACTCACCAAGGTCGAGATAATATAGCCTTTCATATATTATTTTAGGCTCTACAAAAATAATACTAATATAATACTGTTTTTCTCTACTTTACTGCACATGCTGAATCAATTATAAACTTGTATGATGATTTTACTGAATAATTATCTGTCTTTGTATGTTAGTGGTCAAGGGTTTTTGTTAAATAATTTTTACGTAAACATTTGAAAGAAAAATCAGTCAATGAAATCTCGTTGACACTGTAATATTTGTCAACATAATTGTGGTTTAAAATGTACTAATATTGATAATAACAATAACAACAACGATAATAATAACAATAATAATAACAATAACACCAAAAATAATAACAATAACAACAACAATAATGACAATAACAACAACAATAATAATAACAACAATAATAACAATAACAACAACATTAATAACTAACAACAACAATAATAACAATAACAACAACAAAAATAACAACAACAAAAATAACAATAACAACAACAAAAATAACAATAACAACAACAAAAATAACAATAACAACAACAATAATAACAATAACAAAACAACTTTACCTAATTATTACATTCAAGTAAATACAAAAATAACATCACAATAGGGGATAAATTCTCACCATAAGTACAAAGGTTACAGTAATACACAACACAGGTACAGTACTAACACTACCTAGCGGGGGGTGACCTGTACCTCTCTCTCTCTCTCTTTCTCCATCCATTCCTTCCTCTCTTCATTTATCCACTTCTCCTTTCATTGATTCCCTACTCACCACACCCCCAAACTTGGTGACAGTAATCTCCCCCTCACACGCACCTATCTCTCACTCACACCTCCCCCTCACACGCACCTTCCCCCTCACACGCACCTCCCCTTACACGCACCTCCCCTCACACGCACCTCCCTTACACCCCTCCCCCTTACACCCCCTCACGCACTCTCCCCTCACGCACCTTCCCTCACGCACCTCCCCTTCACACGCACCCCCTCCAACCTAAGATCCACCCCCTTCCCCCCTCCTGCCCACAAGCAATGCCTAAGGTGTCTCAGTGGTGCCAGGCAGAGCGATCACCCGAGCGACTGTGGTCAATACACTCCCTCTCTCACTTTACGTCCCTCCTTCCCCCATAATAACACCCTCTCACCCCCACCAACACCCCCGCCATCCCACACCAACACCTCCACCCCACCAACACCCCTCCACCCCCACCAACACTAGCACCCCACCCCCCACCAACACTAACCCCTCCACCCCCACCAACACCACAAGCATTAAGGTACATATTTTACTCCCCATTATAACTAACGCTTGTTGTGATTTGTCTGTCTGTCTGTCTGTCTGTGTCTGTCTGTCTGTCTGTGTCTGTCTGTCTGTCTGTCTGTCTGGTTGTGTCAATAATGAGATTCACGTATCAACAGACGCAGGAAATGGCGAATTAAAGTACAGACAACAACTGTATCTAAAATTTTTTTAACTTTATTATAAAACAGTTTATATTGTAATGACCATACCTGTAGCTGACGTGTTAGGTTAGGTCAGTTTTACACAAGTTTAACTGTTTAAATATTACCATTTACATACTTTTTACATTTATTTTATCTCTCTCTCTTTGTGGTAAATACACACGTCCTGTACACGACAGATTCGGGACAAACAGGGTTCCTCTCTCTCTAAAGTCGTATCAAATTATGACATATTTTCATTATTTTCACTCTGACAAACACTGCAAGTTATTTAACAATGTTCTAATAAACTCTTGCGGGCTCCATAATATAATTCCGGCGAACTACAGGTTGGTGACTACTGGGTTAAGCTGTTTCGTATAGCCCACATGTGTTTAATGTTGTTAGCTGCTGCAAAATCCTTCATAAACTAACCCATTCTCACATACTCTAACATAACCTAACCTAACCTAACCTAACCTAACCCATTCTCACATACTCTAACATAACTTAATATAAACTAACATAAACTATCTTGAACTAACGTCATAACCTAACCTAACCTAACCTAACCCATTCTCACATACTCTAACATAACTTAACATAAACTAACATAAACTAACTTAAACTAACGTCATAACCTAACCTAACCTAACCTAACCCATTCTCACATACTCTAACATAACTTAATATAAACTAACATAAACTAACTTAAACTAACGTCATAACCTAACCTAACGTCGTCACAGTCTTAGACAGGATGTTTAAAGTCATCAGAATATAGGGTGATGATACGACCCCCAACAGGCCCGCCATAGTGGAGACAGTGCGGTGTGTGTCAACAGGAAATGGTGATGCGTCTCCCACCCTTGTGAACTCTCCTGTTGCTGTGAGAGACATTACGAGAGACAAAGAACGTCAACAAAGAATCCGGGTTTATATGGATTTATTTATTTTTTCCATCTGTGTGGGGATATACGAACAGTTATCAAGTGGCGGACTGGGTCAAAAATTTCTACCGGGAAAACTTGTAAAAGGACCCACTCAAAAGGGTCCAAAAGGGCCCACTTAATCCCAGAGTGAGGGACCATCACTTTGGGGCCCACCGGAAAATTTCCAGGTATCTCGGTTTCGTCACTATATAATTTCGATGGTAATTAAGCTATCTATTTAATCTTAAGGTTTAATTCATTAGATGTGTTTTAGTATTTTTAGTTAGTGTTGCGGCCACATGTTTTCGAGTAGGTGAACGTTCTTGGCACCTCACCGCGCATTTATCATTTCATTTTAAGTTACATTTGAAACTATGTATAGCGCTTTACGATATAACACTCTGTGATAATATGGCCTCATGGAATATAAATAAAACTATTAAATATAGACGCAGTAAACTTAAGACTATGAGTAAGTTCCTGTAACAAATAAATAAACTACAGTAGGAATACATAGATGTGTGTAGAATATGATAAGATCCTGTAGATAAACGTGTGACCTATTATGACCTGTTAATGAAGACAAACGGGGTGACCTCGTACCGTGCGTGACCTGCGGGGGTGACAGATGTGGTCGTCAGGGCGGGCGTTGGTGAAGCAGTGGAGGTCGACAGGCAGGGTGTCCCACATAGACTTACGGCGTGTCGTGAGCTCCATCCTGCCCCCACAACCAGGATGTAGAGACGCCGAACTCCTACAGGTCCTTCAGGAATGTTGTGAGTCCTTCCTACCTCCTGAACCACTAGGACCCCGGGAGTTTTAAGACTAGAATTTTACAAGAAAGTCCTATAAGAGTGTTTGAGGACCTTCCTGCCTCCTACACCAGCGTGACTTAATGTCCTACACTGACGTTCCTTCAATATGAGGTACACTTAAAGGCTGTCGACAATCATAAGGAGCTGAGAGTCATGGGGACGGATGCGGCCTCCTTGACCTGTAGGACACAAACACCACGCTGAAGGAGGTGCAGAAGGATATTCTCACAATTACAGGGAAGACGCAGGAGACTCCAGCAGGTCCTAGAGAACTTCCGCGACACTAAGAGGTTCTAGGGGGTGTCTGTGGCTGTGAGGGTTCTGGGAGGCTTCACAAGAGGTGGATGGTGTGTCGGAGGTGAGACACAGAGTGAGAGAGACATACCCACGCCTCTATACCGGTCATCATCACCCCCACACATGAGGAATTTCCGCACTAAATCTCTGTTGTCTGTGAAATTCCAAGTAGAAATATATTTACGATCACACTTCTCTACATCTCGGAGGTAATTATATCCATCCAACACTCGTCGCCATTACTGAGCTGAGGGAGAGAAATATGCCACTGTTCAGAAGCGAGAAAATGAAACCCATTAGACAGGTGTTACTCTGTGTCATCTTCTACAGACAGGTCCTCGTGCGGGGACCTGACGCAACAGTCGTAACTCACTACAGATCGTGGGTATAAAGACGTACAAATTAAGACACTTTTATAGTCACTGTATTAAAAACTCGTAAAAGTCTGTAATCTTAGTAAAATATTATTATTCATTACCGGAGCACAAGGTAAAACTGTTAAAAGACTCATCACTCTCAATCATCACATCACATGATAACTCATCACTACAGCACACGAGAGGAACTTGAGCGACATAGTTTGAAGGTTCTTGGGTCAGCGTGTTCAAGGCAGACACTGGCAGCGACCCACAGCACCGCCTCCTCCCTCCACCTGTCACCAAAGGCGTCGAAGAGCAGAACAAAAACAGGCTGTCACTCGTGGCCATTTACGGGGCACTGTATGAGTCGCTTCTGTAATGGAGGTGTTGGGTGGTGGTGAGGTTGTTGAGTGTGGTAGGTGTGGGGGTGTTGGGTGTGGGGTGTTGGTGTGGGGATGGGGGTGTGTTAGTGGGTGTTGGGTGGTGGGTGTGTTGAGTTGTTGAGTGGTGGTGTTGGGTGTGGGGGGTGTGTAGGGGTGTTGGATGGAGGTTGTGAGTGTAGGGGTATGGATTTTGGGGTGTGAAAATATACTCGCGTGTACGGGTGGTGTGTGACTGTTATATCCAAGTCGTGGATTAGGAGAGAGAGAGAGTTTGTTTTCGGTAAGGAAGGAAGGCTGTTACAGGAGCAGGACACTAGGACGCCGTGGTATAGGAGACACGACAGGAACCCTTTGGAGACGCCATAGGACCTCGAGTCAAGCGGTTGAGCAGGTCCTCTCCCGAGTGGTGGTGGTGGCGGCGTGATAACTACAAGGAGGTAGACGATGGTGCAGGAGCTGGTGAAGGGGAGCAATGTTTACCAGTGGGCCAGACTGACGCCCCCCTCCACCGCCTCGGGTTATCGCCAGCCCCTTGATGTTTGCTGAAAACTCCTGACCAGACGCCGAACTGGTGGGGTGTGGATGGGAGAGGAGGGGAACGGTGAGAGGGAGGTGAGAGAAAGGATGGGGGGGGGAGAAGCGAAGGGGGGTGAGGACTCTGATGAGGTAATTTTGAAAGGTACTGTACGTCTTGAGGCAGAGGTTAGAGGGTGAAGGAACGAAGTACTGGTGATGAACGTAAGCACAGACCCGCACCGCAGAAACATCACCAGTACGAGCAATCTACAGGGTTTGGCGTTCAATTCACACCTTAAACAGTGACATGATTATAATAGCTATGTCAGACGAACGTTCGACAGCTTTATGCCTGCGGTGGCGGTCCTTTACGACAGAAGCAATAGCGGCAATGGAATTTTATACGATACGAGAGAGAGAGAGAGAGAGAGAGAGAGAGAGAGAGAGAGAGAACATCAGCACCATAGAGGTAGTGTATACATGGACGTAAATATGTACACTGCGGAAATAGGGGGGCGGGGGGTCTGACGGCTCCTCTCGCCTCCCCTCACTCCCTTTCTCTCCACTTCCTTACACTCTTCTCTCCTCCCTTTCTTCTCTTCACCTCCACCTCCTCTTCTCCTCCTCACTAAGGTAGACGTCAAACTCATAATCATCATCAGGTAAACAACACTCACGCCATATTCTTATTTACATTTTATTCTTTAACAAAATCGTATCTAATCACAGTCGAGTCACATCACCACTTAGAGGACCTACACACACACACACACACACCACCACTACTGTCACTTGAGTCTTTAATGTGGTGTATGAACATGTCACCACGCCCAATGTATATACCCTCGTTCGAACTGCCACGCCCACCACCACCAGGACACGCCACCACGACCGTCACACGCCCACCATCACTGACACCACCGCCGAGACACGCCCGTCGCACGCCCACACAAGGCAGTGCTTGTTCCGCCATTCACAAGGTCCACGCCCTCAAGTGACTACACCGCCCGCTGCCCCGACGTCTTTTATAGCCGCCTGTGTTTGTTCGTCCCCTCACTCTCCCCTCTCTCCCCTCACTCTCCCCTCACCCTCCACCTCACTCTCCCCTCACTCTCCCCTCACTCTCCCTCACCCTCACCTCTCTCCCCTCACCTCCACCTCCTCTCCCCTCACTCGCCCCTCACCCTTTCATCACCCCTTCCCCACTCTCTCCTCACCCCTCCTCTCCCTTCAATCTCCCCCCCATTCTCTCCTCACCCCTCACTCCCCATTCCCTCACCTCTTATTGTAGCTCTCTCTTTCCCCCACCTCCCTCTCTCCCCAATCCTCATTTCCTCTCTTTCCCTCACCACCCTATTCCCCTCCCTCCTCCCCACACACCCATAGCCACCACCAATATGTCACTAGCCAATCACAGTAATAAGCTCAGGGCCCAGACAAGCTCAGGGTCCACACAAACACAGGGCCCACACACAAACAGGCCCCACGCAAACCACACACAAACAGGCCCCACACAAACACCACACACAAACAGGCCCCACACAAACACAGGGCCCAGACAAGCTCAGGCCCACACACAAACACAGGCCCCACACAAACACAGGGCCCCACACAAACACAGGCCCCACACAAACACAGGCCCCACACAAACACAGGCCCCACACAAACACAGGCCCCACACAAACACAGGCCTCACACAAACACAGGGCCCACACAAGCTCCACCACCCGTAACAATCATCAGGTGTTACGTTAAATAATAATCGCAATAATAAGAGTTAATAGCAGGGTGTGGTGTGTATATATACCAGTGTTCATTGCCAGGAAGGTGAGGTTAGGTTAGGTTAGGTTAGGTTAGGTTAGGTTAGGTCAGGTTAGGTTAGGAATGGTTTGATTTGGTTGTTTAATCTTAAGCTGCATTAAGTTGGTGGCTGGTCTCCACAAGATCCAGGAACGGTTGAGTCGCTTGCATAATTTCATCACCATTGTTATTGTCATTTTCGCACTGCAGCTGTCATTTTTCGCACTGAACGACCCTCTGTTTCTGAACGACCCCGCCCTCTGTTTCTGAACGACCCCCCCCTGAACGACCCCGCCCCTCTGCTTCTGAACGACCCGCCCTCTGTTTCTGAACCCCCGCCCCTCTGTTTCTGAACGACCCCGCCCTCTGTTTCTGAACGACCCCGCCCTCTGTTTCTGAACACCCCGCCCCTCTGTTTCTGAACGACCTCGCCCCCTATTTCCGTGAACGACCCCGCCCCCTCTGCCATTCTCTCTCCTTCATAAAGCAGTTTTGATTATTCCTAGCCGCCAGCGTTGACAGACGCTGGCAGGTAACGTCAACATGGCCGGGGTGACGGTGGCTGACGTGAGGCTGTAAACACGACCACCAATATTCCAGCATGTGAAGATTAGCCACCCTCCCTCGCTCTCCCCCAAGCTTATTTCACCTGATGATTAAATACCTTAACCTAACCTAACCTAACCCTCTCAGCGTTAGGGTAATTAATTTTCGTTTAATATACTTTTCTTGGCATTTCCTTTTATTTCCAGTTAAGACACAAACACCTCTACCAAACCTCATGATCAGGAAGTCACAAGTCCGTATATATGTTTGTCAGGAACGAGTCAGTGTATAGTGGTGATAATAAGGTCCTGCAGCAGCGCCACGGTGTTCATAGCGGCGGGGAGGAGAGTTAACCATCCAGTATAGGTACTAGAATATTTACCAATTTATAATTTTTCTCTGATGGTATGTATGTCTGTATGAACGTCTCTCGCTGCTGGTATTTTCCGGGTGTTGTTTCGACACGGGCCACAGTGTGAGTTGTTCCGGGTTGTGTCGTGGCATTAATGGGTCTTTATAAATACGAGTCCTGTTCCGGGGTTTTGTTTGGCTGAAGAGGTATTGTGGTTGAGAGAGAGAGAGAGAGAGAGAGAGAGAGAGAGAGAGTAACATGACTTAACTTAACCTTAATCATTAGTTAGTCTTCGCGTGCAGGTGGGGGTTAAATTAACTCATAAACACTTATTCATGATATCACGCAACACCTGTCATGACGTCACACAACACCTATGGTAGAGCAGCCTATCACATTTCCTCCACACCCACACGCACTTCCCCCACCAACCAGTCACAATCCCGTACGTACGAGCTTTGATGATTTAGGTGACAATATCCTCGCGCCTCTATGTAATTTTTATCATATTTTCCAAGATTGTGAATGTTTACAGTTTTTATATTTCTTAGTGCTGAATAATTAATCAGTGTTAGAAATGGTTCATCTGAAGATTAGTCCAGCCAGCTTATTACACACCACTTCAACACCCCCAGCAACACTCCAACACTCCCCAGCAACACTCCAACACCCCTAGCAACCCAACACCCCAGCAACACTCCAACACCCCCAGCAACACTCCCACCCCCCAGCAACACTCCAACACCCCCAGCAACACTCCAACACCCCCAACACTCCAACACCCCCAGCAACACTCCAACACCCCCAGCAACACTCCAACACCCCCCCATCAAGGACCCATCATAATAGCTTCACCACCATATGTGACGTCAATGCACTAAAGTTCCTAAAAATTTATGTGTGTAAATCATGTGTCAGGAAGGAGCAGCTCGTAAATCTGGTCGAGGGAGAAAATTTGACTTATGACCTGAAGATAAGACACCCCAGCGTATTTTACCTGATGATTAATGACCCTAATGCTTACCTGAGTCTAACCTAACGCTAAGCTAATCTAAACTAACGCTTATCTAATCTAAACCGAACGCTAACCTAATCTAACCTAACGCGAACCTAATCTAAACTAACGCTAATCTAATCTAACCTAACGCTAAGCTAATCTAAACTAACGCTAATTTAATCTAAACCGAACGCTAACCTAATCTAACTTAACGCTAATCTAATTTAACCTAACGCTAATTTAATCTAACCTAACCTTATCTAATCTAACCTAACGCTAACCTAGTCTAACTTAACGCTCATCTTATCTAACCTAACACCAACCTAACCTAACCTAACCTAATCTAACCTAATCTTACCTAACGGCAACCTTAGTGGAGATAGTCTAGTTACCCCTTGAGTACGGGTTCCCCTCTGGGCTGAATAAAATCGTCTGGAGTAAGTTAAATAAGCATTCAATAGCTTTGTAGGTAATCCTTGGTCAAATTGCCTAATTGTTTACCATTGTCATATACTTGCACTGTCTAGATACATAGGAGAATGTATACTCACTCCCACAGCTTACGTGCACTGTACATGTAGACAGTATAATTATCTGCATTGCCTATACTGTATACATTCTGAACTGTATGTATACCTGCATAGTTTATATACAGTACATACCTATCCAGTTGTAAACCTTTTGTACAGTTAGAATTGTACTGAATTAATATTATTATTGAAAGTGGCGTTCCTGTAGTGAAGGGGTTAGAGACCTTAATATATTTCCTTGGCAGTCGTCTCTTCTGTTTTCTATCTTATCCTGACTCTTAGTGAGAAAACGTGAAGTTGAGAATATATTAACGACAAACAACAACAGATAGTTCAAGTTTTAAAACATACCATTAACATGAAGATATTTAGATCCGCGCCTTCATAATGTCAAAAACAACACTTGATGGTATTTGAGATTAACTGCAGGAACTTAACCTTCTCTATCTAACCTTAATACATCTGTTTTTATATAAGTACAGTACTGTGTTGTGTTACGGGTTTAAATACTCGTTTGTACAGATGTTTTATTGCAATTACTAGTCTGACTTGGAAAACAAAATAACAAAGACTATATTTTTATGGATAATTGATACGTCTGTTTTACTGTTGGTTAAATAAGTAAGAGAGACAAAATAAATCACTATCAACGAATTTAATAACTAGCGTAATTTTTTCTCAATGCAATGACGTCAAGAGGAAGTCATCCAGATGTCTCACACTGACAAAGTGATCTTATTCACAGAGATTCGTAAGGTAAATTGTCCTCAATACTGAAACTGTGAGAATCCACCTGTTTAACTTACGCGAGGGTTAAAGATAATTAACTTCCAAATATAGCATAAAACTGACATTGAGTCTAGGTACACCTTGTTTAATTAATATGAACGGGTAAATAAACCCTTGTTTATAAACCTGCGGTAAACCAACATATATGTATTTGTTTCTCTTTAGTTTTAATTGTTGATGAATAGTACACGAACCAGTTAGTATTTTTTCCCTTTAATCTTTTATTTTTACTTTCAGCTTGTCGTGGGTGTGGGTCTGACGTCTAATATTAATACCACTCGACATTTTGCTCGCCAGGCCGGCTCTTATCTCCCTCATTATGCGATAAGGTCGTGATTACATCCAGCTTATTAATGTCTCTGTGTTTGGTTTTGAGAGATTATACGAGATAGCCGAGAGAACATCGGGGGTGTTTTGATCAGTGTGTTGCTCCTGTGAGGGGGAGTAGGTACCAGCCTTGTACACCCACCACACCACTCGGTAATATACCCTATGCAGTATATACCAGTTTGAACCAGTGGTTATTAAAGAAGCAGACAAGACAAATATCTTCACATAAACATGAACATTTCAAATCATTGTTATATTACGCAATGACAGATACAGACAGACATTAACCCCCATCTATGACGCATCTCTACTTTAAGCTCGAGAGATTCACAACCAAGTTACCACAGCTTCCCGAAAGCCTTCAGTCATATTTTTCCATATTATTTTATAATAGACTGTATGAAATATGTAAATAGCTGTTTATATTATAGTGAAGATTTACATATGGAACTACAATTGAGATATATGGAAATTATACACATGATATATTAATATAACTTAACCTTCATTTTAATCTAGACTAGAGGTATCGCTTCATGATGCTTCAGTTGATAGAATGCCAAGAATGATACCAATGATAAAGAATGTTCTGTGTTGTCTTTAGTATTATGTAAAGTTACATATGTAAGAGTATAACAGATGGTTGAGGAAAATAAAACTCCTTAGGTCATTGGCTCATTGTTACCGTATTTTTCACTCCCGTTATGTTCCTGAGGCGATTTGGTCGTAAGGAAAGCATCCATATAATCTATTCTCACTAAATATAAGGAAGAATGTGGTTTGTATGGATTTGAGTCTCAATATATTAAGCAATTAGCATTGAAAGTCCTGACCAAAACTTCCTTCGCCTTTCTCTAATGGGCAAAATTAAGCCATATATATATATGTTTTTTCATATACTTTCGTTTTTATCTGAAATACAAGTTGATGACTAAAACCTCTCCTTATAATTAGAATCGCATTAATATTGAAGCAAATATCCACTCTAAAAGATGAATTATACTTTGAGCTGAATTCTAAATAACGAGGAGTAAGGAGTCTGTCTCTTGAATGAAAATATCTAAAATGAAAGTGAGAAATAAAATGCAGACATTATCGTTCATTGAGAGGATGACGTGGTTCTCTCTCTCCTCTGGCAATGCGGTACGTTTCTTTTCCGCCAACTCCCCAGACTCCGCCCACCTATTCAATTACTACTACGTATCAACTAAAAAACTCACTAAAACCTTCACTAAACCTGCACCAGTAAGCTATTTATATAATATAATGACTTAATTATTTGATATATATTCATAGTTGCTGAGATATATGTTAGTTATGGATGTATGGCAGCGAGGCGTCTGGCAATGGGGAACTGTAGGTAAACAGAGAAGACCAGTTGACCACAAGTGACATAGGCTGGTGTGCTGGTCTGAGTTATTCTTATATATTATGTGACACAATACGGGCTATGAGGAGGTGACAGAAACAAATCTTCAGTGTGTGTGTGTGTACGTGTCATAAGTGTTGGTAGTTTTAATTAGACACGCAGAGGAGTAGTGTGAGGGGATTGAATTTTTTGTTTTGTGGTCACGTTAACTTCATATTCGTCAGATCTCCCCAACAACCACTTGTATCATAGCTGTTGGACGTGATAAGGTGGTTATGCCTTGTTTGTGATTTGTATTTAACATTTTATATTTATTTAGTATCAGAAAACACATAGAAATAATCCTTCATCATCTGGTAGCAGTATTAAACCCATAAACGTCTTGCGTGAACTAAAAAAAATCTTCCTTTGCTCAACTAAATGTCATTCGTGTGGTCTCCCTAATTATATATTCAGACTCATTCATAGTGAACCTGGCATACTAATTATATCATTTGTGTTATTGTGTCATTGATCAGTCACTTAAACTGCATTAATTAATTCTGTCAGATTAATTTTGTATTCATTGGTAATACAAGTAGTGCTCACATGATCCGGTGTTATTTTATGTTCTTTCTTAATTATTATGCTAAGAGTCATGATTTAAATTCTTCCATTTGCTGTTTTAATTATTCATCAATATTCATCAACTCATATTTCCAAACCATTGTTCATCTCATGGGAGTTATTGTTCACGTATTTGATGTTATTTATCCACCCTTTATTATCATACACTTATTTACTATGTTATATACCCACAGACTGTTATATATTTACTAATTTAACTATTATGATATTTACTTGACTATCCATTTACATTTGTAGTTAGCTGGTCATTATTGTTATGTAGTGTCATCTTCCATTCACTGAGGGTCTTCATTGCGAGATCTCTTCATCACATATACCTCACAGTAAAAAATCTCGCAGATAATTAAAGATTTATTCTGATGTGATATCTCGTGTAATTATTAATGCATTGTCTCTTTGATGATTCGTGTTCCGAGTAATGTTTTAAAGATGGAATTTATCTCGCTAACAAGGCCAGTGCGTCGTGTGATCGGAGAATAAAGCGTAGATAAACCTTGAATGACATAGTTATGGAAGCATATTAACAGGAAGGTGTATAGTCAAGATTTTTTTTATTTTAAGGCTGCACAAGAAATACTGAACTTACTGTGTTCTTGAAATGTCAAGATTGTTCACAGGAAGTGGGTGAGTGTACAGTACAGTATATTGGTGAGTTTCTCTTGATGTTCACAGTTAATAAAGGGATTATTCTCCTGAAACACAAGACTTGAACTAAACCAACATGAGGAACGTCAGCATGGGGTCCTCTCTGAGCTGAATAAAATCAGGTCTTAGGCGAATATTAAAATTGGCGTCTCCGTAGTAAGGGGGTTAAGAATACAGTATACTTCTTATTCGTGTTATATTTCTTGAAGTTTCATAAAAAATAAATCCTCTTTTCATTTTGTAAGTGTAATTTTTTTTAAACACACATACAGTGCAAACTTTAGTTAATATGTACCGTAAGTTGAAATAGCATTTTTATACTTAATTTTCTGCAATGTAAAATTAAAGCTTTTATATGAAATGTCAAATTTTATACTGTACAGTACACAATTAGGAAATGTACAGTACAGTATAACTACTAAGTACTGTACAATAGTTATTATAGTATATGTGTCACAGGAATAGAAGAACTTATTAAAATTTGGACCATGATAAATTAAAAGTTATTTCTCCAGTATTTGTTATGTTTAGTGTGTAAGGCAGACACAGTATCACTGAGAGAGAATTGTTAATATGAAGACCTACATCACCAGTAGGTACTAAGAGCCAAAATGAATACAGTAATTGTTAAAACATATTTCAATGAACACAGAAACAAGCAGTAATTTGACCCTAATCCTCAGTAAAGACTTTTGTTATGCGAGTTGTAATATTGTGTTTTGTCTGTTGACTGGGAGGGTGCCAGAAGGCTCCCTGGCACTGGGCATGTAAAGTGACAGTCAGCTGACAGGGACACCACCAAGCGCTACGCACTTCATTCTCCGCCCAGATGCAGAGCACACTGTCTTTTTAAACCTCCTGCTAAGAACAGCCCAAACAACACACATCGTCTCAGTGGTAATCGTTGCTATATTTTTATAAACTGGTTTGGACAACTTTGGGAGTTGATATAATGTGTGAAGTGCAGTGCTTTGGTGATACAGTTGAGTGAAGTTATTATAATTTTCTATCATGTTTAATAGTTGTCATATTTATCAGTATTCATCGTTGGTGTTTTATAAATACAACAGTGCCAAGTTGCTTTAACCATAGAGTATTATTTCTTGAAGGTGTTGAATAGTAATTTGCTTGAATTCACTTATCCATTATTGACCAAATATACTGTACGGTATAATTGATGGAGACTACAGTCATTTATGTGATATTAATTCCTTCTGTGATGTAGCCGCTGCATGTTTAATGATTCATAAAGCAACAAGTGCGACCAATGTTTGTCCATGGTCAGAGAAAGTATTTTAGTTCATTTACCTGAGAGTTAAATATATATCTTGTGGCTGACATTCCCCTTGATGTATATGATTGGTTGGTGATGTTTGGCAGAGACATATGCCCGTATTATTAAACAAAATCTTCCCTTGAAGAGGGTCGTCGTGTTTCAACCCGAGTTTTAAGTAAATGAGTCCTGACGGACACCACAGTACTGTACTTAACGGGGTGGTGTGGCGGTAAAATGAACTAATTCCAATATTATAAATTAATTTTATTGGAATTAGTTAATTTTAACGGCACACCACCCCGTTAAGTACAGTACAGTAGTGTCCCTCAGGACTCATTTAGTTAAAACTCGGGTTGAAACACGACGACCTTCTTCAAGGGAAGATGTTGTTTAATAATACGGGCGATAGTTTTGTGTGGTGTGCCTTGGTGTGGGTGCTCGAGGCCATTGCCACTCTTGTTATTAAATTGTTAAGTTTGTTCAGCTGCCTGTACAAAATGAGACCCCTGTAGTGTAGCGTACAGTACTTTGTGTGGGTGCAGTACTTAGGACCTGATATAACACTAATCATTCACAAGATGATCACTATCAGTGGATCAGTCAAGTACCTAAACTGTTACATAGATACATGTTAAGGTGCACATTCTGATGGTACTGGTAGATGTGCTGTACATGTATGGTATGAAGATCAAACTGCCATAATATAGATAAAATTGAAGTACAGTACATCACCATCATCACTGTTTTATGATGATGATGGGGCACTAGCTATTCTGTACTTCACTGTCATATTGAGTATATTACTGTACACCACTATGTACAGTACAGTGTAGACAGATGAATTAAAAATATGGTTTTGTTGTTGCCAGGGTCTCTTTTTCAGGTCCCTTTGAAACAGGTGAAGCCAGTAACTGTTCAAAGACAGTTGGGTAATGGTGGAAAAACTATCTACTGTACTGTACAAAAATTTGATGATAATCCCCATGTGTCTGTCTTTTGTGTGAGGTTATTAATTGCATAGATGAATAAGGTTAAGAAGTGTACCGTGGCCATAGTGCGACTCCTTACTGTGACTGTGTGGATGACTCGGTTGTTTGCACCACAGCATTTGCAGTTTCACTTAGTTAACATTTTATTGCCTTTAACACTGATTATAAACCTTCATCAGTATCACTCAAGGCTGTAATAATCTTTCTCTTCATAAAAACAATATTAGTGGACAAGGTCAGTGGAGGGCAGAACCTTGGTGTACAGTATGTCTTTGGAATGCTTGTTTGGCTGTTGGGTTTTATCTTTTAATGTCTGCGGGGTTGTTGATGCTACTGATGGCTCACAGCTGATGCCCAGTGTTGATCTCTTTCTTGCTGTGCTTTACTGGTACAATACTGTACTGTACTGTAGGCCTCAGTCTGGGTCAGGTTCATAGGAAATTTTGTCTCATGTTCCTTTGGTGGCGAAGATGAATTGGTGTAGCTAGTTGTTCACTGGTCATGTAGTGTCATTTGCTAGTGTTGTCTGACAGTCATTTGTAATAATTTATATTGTTTACATCATAATCCTGAATGAACCTTCTTATCGGTCAACAAATAGCCAAATACTCTCTGGTTTGGCAGATGGTTACATCATTACTCGTGTAGCAGTGATCACCTCCATGACCAGGCGGCCCTAGAGAGGTGTTCACTTGGACATACAGTATTGTAGTTTTACTTGCCATTCAAGAGAAGTCACTCTTACTCAAAAAATCTTCCATACCATATGAGGGATTACAACGTGCCTGTGACAGTGCGAGTGACTTGCTGTCGTGCTCGTAGCAACACAGCCTGCTCGACTGGTGTAATGAATGAGTCACATTTGTTCAAATAGTCCAGCTACCTCACTTGCAGCAACAAAGTTTGCTTGAGTGGTTTGCTGAAGTAGTTGTGCTCACTTGAAATGTTGAGTTGCCTACGTATGGTGTTAAGACTAAAGGGGGGGGAGGAGGTTTATATATGGTGGTGGTAGTCAGTCTGCAGAGAACTGTAATCTGATAATGTGAGGAGCTTTCCCAGACTGTACATAGATAACACTTGTGGAGTTATCTTAAACTTATGATAACCTTATTGTCTGAGAGCTGCTTTTATAAGGTCTCGGCCATTACCTGGCCTTACTCCAGTTTGGCATCTGAAGTACTGTACTGTACTGTATAGTAGCTAAAGTAAATCTTAGCCTCTTGTTATAGATTTGATTTTACAACATTATCATGCAGTGTGTTCATGGCAGGACCCTGATAGTATATACAGGTATTTATCAGGAAATTAATTAAATGTCCTCAGCAGAACATTTAAGTAGATGATATCCTGAGGAAATTCCTCAGGATATCATCTGTGTTGTGCCTTTTAGTTTTTTCTATCCAAACTTGAAGAGTTATGGGGGATATGACAGTCTTGTCTGGCTGGGGGCCTGTAGGGGGAGGTACGTATATGTACAGTATTGGGAGAGTGCCAGAGTCGGGTCGGCCACAACATGCAGTCAGTGGATATTTTCATATATTTCTCTTTAAACTAGTAATTACAGGTCGAGGCTTACTAAGTTATATGTGTGTTGTGTTCAGTCATGCTCCAGCTATTGCTCCTCCAGTTTAGGGTGTGATTAATTCTACCACTTGTAAGGTAGTTACTGGTCTGCCCTCTAAGGTTTGAACTTTGTCAGCGTATTTGCTGTTGTGTCGGGTACACTTGTTGGTTAATGATTATACCGGTATATAACTACTACTGTACCTGTCTTTTCAGCGTACAATACTTTATTACCAATTAGAATATGCTGTTGTAATCCATTTAATTTTTGACCATGTAAAGTGAAATGAGATATTTACCCTAAGTGTGTTCAATCTCATGACAAAAATCCACAAATGTATTGACTGACGTGAGAGACTCCAGGGATTATCTGAAGATTAGCCACCCCCCCCCTGCTTATTTCACCTGATGATTAAACACCCTGAAGTTACCTGGGGGTGATTAATTTTATGGTGAAATGAGGAGGGGGATATCCTTTGGGTGATTAAACTTTAGCAACACACATACACTCTCACAAGCACTCATGGACACATTTACTCTCTACACACACTGTCGACACTGATTGCACTATAAATTAAATGAATCACGACAAGAATGCTTATGAGATACTACACATTGCACGATAGTCTTAGGTGATATGAGCTGCTTTATAGTCAGGAATTTATTGATATTTTTTGTGCTATTGCTTCTTAGTGTGATAAGTAGTTACACAGTCTCTTAAATTTTGATAAATATGGTACATTGTAGTCTATGTACTTAACCCCTTGTGTATGGTGTCCCCTCTGAGCAGAATAAAATTGCTAAATAAAATATTAAAAGTGGCGTCCCTGTAGTGAAGGGGTTAATATTTGGTGTGTGGTACAGTAGATCACATGTGGTACCATTACAGTGTCATAGTGGATAAAGTACCATTCATGTCTCCTGTGTTAGCGGTTTGTAATTAGTGTGATTGTGGTAACCTGAAGCCTCTTTCACATGAGCGTTTTTATTGTAAATCAATTGAATTTATGGTCATCTATGTGAAAGATCCCATTGAATCGGGGCCGGATCCATGCCGATGCAACCGATGCACTTCCACCGCTCAAAAACTTCTGACCGATGCAAAGGTATCATATGCATCGGTCAAATAATGGACCTATTGGTATTAACGTTACCACATTGACAGCTCCTGTCAAAAGCTGGTTGGCCATTCGGGTCACGTTATCGATACACAATTCTTTAACCGATGCATATGATACTTTTGCATCGGTCAGAAGTTTTTGAGCGATGCAAGTGCATCGGTCTGGATCCGGGCCTGCAATGAATTACATCGATTGGTAAGTCTCGTGACAAATATAATGTTTGTGTGAAAGAGTCCTAAGTGAAGACCACTGTGAGGAATGAACCGGGTACTGTAGCTGTTACACTAACTTAAGCTTTTATTTTTTACCAGGTGTTGGAGAATGTGTCCAGTAGTGCAATAATATTGGAGGAAATATTCGAGGTAAGAAAGTCATCTAATAACTTTTGTATAAACTACCACAGAAGTAATATTATAACATACTGTACTGTGTTGTGTTTATTTAGGCATAACACTATTATCACTGTTTTATATTGTCACTGTGCTGTTATTCTGGAGTAGATTCACATGTGGTTTGTGAATGTTATTCATTTATTACTGTAATCTCATCAACACCATGAGTACAGTAATTGTTTTATGTCTTTTGCTGTATGAAGGAGTTTGTAATATTTAAAGGAGTTTATGAAAGGTTAGATCTTTGTTTTTATGTAAATACAAGACTAAATAGATAGAGTAGTCATTTAAAACTCAGTGGATAAGTTGTAAATGTAATATTTACATGTACTGTACAGTATTTATATTGCAACACTTATTAATTTCAACTAACGACTTGGTTAACCTTTGTAAAAAAGAAAACTGCCTTATTTTGTCAACATTAATTTGGTTAGCACATATTTGTGGCCAAACATCAGTACTGTATAGGTACAGTATAAACAATTTTGTACACTGTCAAACTTTTTTTTTTAATTCTATTATTATCAATACTGTAGTCTGAACTATACAGTATCTCAGTAAATTATTCAGGGTCAGCCAGTAGATAATTATACCTGTATCTGTGTACTATTGAGAGTACAGTACAGTATAAGACATTGTGTGGGAGTAGTGTTAGCCAGAAGGAGGTACAGTAATGCAATGAGGATATCTCTTATGTTGGCTGTGTGTGTGTTGCACGATGTGAAGATGTTTATATTATAAACACAAGTACTCTTCTGTACATCTTTTTTTTTCTCTGTAGACTCCAGGCTGGGGAGTCTAAATCGAAGTATCAAATTTAGTGATAAGTATGCAGTAGTTAATAAAAGAAAATTGGTGAAAAGCCACAAATGATTCACAGGAAAGAAATGTACAGTATCCTGACACCATTTTGGAGGATAATCAGTACAATACTGGAGTGACTTGTATCAGTGTGGTGGACCTCTGACTGTGTGTTGAAACTTTGGCTCCAAGTGTGTTAAATTAATGGTTCAGATGTGAAACTGTGGTAATGTGAAGAGTTACAGCTAGAGTACAGTACAGTATGTGAAGCCCCAGATCTGTACTGGGAGGACTGCCACAGTTGCTCATCGTACAGTACTGTGTTTGTCGGGGAGTTGATCTTAATTGTTTTATCAAGTACTGAATGTTAAGTGTTGTCCAGAAGATGTGTTTAATCTTAATTATTTTATGGAGTGCTCAATGTTGTCCAAATTATGTCATATTCTGGTGTTTTCATTACAGAGGGATGCAAAACTCGAGTCCAGAATGGCTAGAGTCAGCCATGGGGTCTAGCGTTGTGGTGTGGCCGCCATGGCCCACTGAGTGGCTGCAGGGTAACCATATGGACACATTAACTGTCCTCGCTACAGAGTACCAGCCGTGGATCTGTTCCATCATTGCAGCCTTGGCTGTTGGCTTGGCTGGCATCGTGCCTCTTCTCCTAATTCCCACCGATCATGAGATGAAAACAAATAGTGGTGAGTACTCTGAGGACTCTTACTGTACTTTACATTTTATTTTACCAACTACGTATTACAACAGTCGTGACATGATGTTTACAATTAACATTCTTCTTATAATACATTCTCCTGTTTTGAGGGTTTATGACTGAAGCAGCTAAGAACTAATTACTGTACATGGTAGATTGACTTGAACAAAGATGGTAGAGCTTTAGTTTTGGGCAAATTTAGGACATTGTGCCTTAGGAAGACAACTGTTGTATGTAATCCTCCCACTGTGAGGTGATGGATGTGGTAGGGAGGTCAGTCTATCACTCTGGGCTAAATAATTAAGGGTTATCAGAGGACATTGAACACCCCACTACTGGACCTGCTGTATTATGAGGACCAATCAAGCTTTGGGTTCTACTAGTAAAAGGATTTTTGGCATCAGTTAGTATTTTTTAAGCATCAGGATTATTAATATGATACTATTTCCTGTTTAGAAATTAATAGATGTACATTAAAGTTATGAGTCAAACATCATGTGACCAACACATGGTAAATGATTGTTATCTTAACTAGTACAAGAAAACCTTATCACCAACATATAAACATGACTTGGCAGTTTTCTGGTTACTACAGGAAGTAAAAGTCTCAGCACACTTACTGTACTTCGTTGATCCTTAAGTGTTTCTGTGGACTTATTTCTAACCAAAGGTTCTCACGGTCTTACATTGTCACCTTATCTCTGAATGGGCTATCACCTGTTTTTCAACCTAAGGCCGTAATATTTGATAATGTTTACAGATAAGCAGCAGTATTTGTGTGATCTGAGACGAGAGTTAATATTAGCTGCATTATCATTGTTTTATAATATTAGTTTGTGTGTAAGTGAAATATTCCGATAATTGATGGAAGTCACTAAGCGTGTATACGGTACCTTTTAGTGATAGACGCAAGTGCTATAAACTTTTACAATTAATGTTTTTTAATCCCTTGTGTATGGGGTCCTCTCCGAATTGAATAAAATCGTTGGGATTAGCAAATAAAATATTAAAATTGGTGTCCCTATACTGAACGGGTTAGACACATGAAAATAGACAAAATTGTCCAGTTTGAAAAGTTGACGACACCTAAGCCACTGGCCAATCAAAATAGAAAATGTCGAGTGTACTGTACTCTTCACTTAACGTTACACAGTATTGAAATTGTTCGTCTGGTAAACCGAATCATTTACAGTTGTGTTGCTTGGTCTTAGGGCTGATATGCACTGTCACTGTGTTGTTGAGTGGGGAGGGGGTTGTGATGATGATGCAGATATCTTTTAACGGGGGTTTTGAAAATACTTCCAGGTGTGAGTTAGTTCTTACACCCTTGCCTCTCTCCCTCCTTCCCTTCCTCTGTGTTATTCTGTACTGTACTGTGTAATTTTTATCTAATTAAAAACCCTTCAGCCTGTTTTTTTTATTTATTCATCTGTATTACCAAAGACTTGTATTGTTATTGTTACAGTATTATTATATTATTGTTATCACAGTACAGTATTACTTTTATTTATTATTATTTTAATTTCTGTTTATAATTGTACATAATTATATTTCTAAAGTGTGGTAGTGGTTCCTGTTTTGGGTGAGATGTAAGGTGAAGTTGTGGGCACAGGTTATGGCTACTTGTATAGTATTCACAGCATCTATCCTTGATAGTACGAGTCATCAACAGCTGTGGCAGGTTAGGTTAAGATTGATTAGGTTAGGGTAGGATAGATTAGATTAGGTAAGGTTAGACTAGGTTAGTTTAGTTAATGTTAGGTATGGTTTGATTAGGTAAGGCTGGTTAAGTTAAGGTTGGCTAGTTAACGTTAGTTCGGGATAGATTAGGTTCTTGATAGTACAGTACGAGTCATGAACAGCTGTGGCAGGATACACCCACATAACCCAGACCTGTAGTGTGACAGTCCAGCACCCGGAGGCTGTAAGGATATCATCTGGGTGTCTGTCAGTGTGGCTCTCCTTGGTTAAGTTGGTCGTAATGTTTACCCGCACTGTTTATCCGCACTGTTTACCCACACTGTTTATCCGCACTGTTTACCCACACTGTTTACACCTGCGTTCACTTTGTATATGCTGAAATTTATACCTGTACCTGTATTGTCTCTATACCTGTTAAATTATATACCTGCATTGTTTTTACATGCTGAGAGAGAGAGAGATGGGAAGAGTAAGAGAGAAAGATGAGAGGAGAGAGAAAGAGGGAGATACAGGGAGAGGGGAGAATAAGAGAGAAATAGAGAAGGTGAGAATCAGAGAGAGAGAGATGAAGGAGAACAGCAAAGATAAATGAGGAGTATAAAGTTCCTCATGTCTTCTTTGTTCATGTTGTCTTCTTAACAGGAGGTGAGAGAGAGGAGGAGCAGTAAACTATCACTTGTTTCCCCTCATCCATCCTCTTTACTCTCTCTCTTTCTCTCCCTCTCCTTCTTTTCCTTTGTCTTCGTTATTCTGGCTTGCATGGTGACCCCACTCTCGTCTCCCCCCCCCCCTCCCCCCTCCCTTGCTCCTCCAGAGAGTGAGTGTGAGCAGGAGATAGGAGGACGCTGGTGAGGCGTGAGGCTCCACTATTTACAGCTTCTTGGGTGTTGTGTGTTGGCCCGTACCACCTGTGGCTCCTGGGGGCGGGGAGAGAAAGTTGGTGGGTGGGGAGGAAAATGGGGTGAGATAATTGGTGGGGAGGAGGAATGGAGAAAGGTGGAGGGGATGAAAGGAGGAGAGAAACAGGTCTTAAGTGAGGGAGAAGTGAGAGAAAGGGGGGGGAGCTGGTGAGGTTAGGGTACTGTACACTTAATTCCTTAAGGGTGGCTCTCTCTCTCTCACACACACACACACACACACACACACACACACATTTGTTGCTCACTCACCACCTCCACACACACATTCTTTCATCTCACACTCTCTCTCACACACACACACACACACACACACACACATCCCATTTGTTGCTCACTGACTCACCTCCACCATTTCTCACTCTCTTTCTCACATTCTTCTCTCATCTCTATCTCTCTCTCTCTCTCTCTCTCAGAATGTCATGTTAGCAGTAGGATAAGTGTGTGGCCTGCTGCGAGTGCTTCAGTGCTGACCTAGAATGCTAAAAAGAGGGAGGGTTGAGGGAGAGGGGGAGGAGGGGGGGAGGGGGGTAGAGTCTGCTGAAGTCATGCAGTGTTGTGTTGAAGCTGTTTAGAATGTGGTGGTGGTGGGGAGAGAGTGATGGTGAAGGAGATGTTGGTGGGTGTTGTGGGAGTAAATGGTGTTGGAGTGAATGGTGGTGTTGGAGTTGTGTTGGAGTTAGGGGGTAATGGTGGTGGTGGAGTTAGGGGGGGTGGTGGAGTTAATGGTGGTGGTGTTGAGGGAGGGAGTGATAATGTAGTGTTGCAGAAGAATTGTTTTTGTTGGTGATAGTAGTGGTAGTGCGTGCGTGCAGAATGCAGAGGAACGAGTTCTTGGTGAGGAGGTCTGGCTGGTGTGTCTCAGGCAGGTTTGCGAAAAATACGTGATGTTTCTCAGGTGTGTTATTGTGGGGCGCGTTCTCTACCTGGATAGATAGATCAGTAGGTAGATAGATATAGATAAAAGTTAAGACAGACATACACTAATATATATATATATATATATATATATATATATATATATATATATATATATATATATATATATATATATATATATATGTGTGTGTGTGTGTGTGTGTGTGTGTGTGTGTGTGTGGGAAATGTCATGTCGTAAGAATGGTGAGGGGGGGGGGGACTTGTTGCTGGTGGAGTAGGAGGGTGATGGTGGTTGTGTTGGTGTTAGAGAATAATGATGGTCTCTCTCTCTCACATTCATTACGTATAATAACGCTGGTGGGGTTTACAGTATGATAATTGTACGCTTCTGGACAAGAGCTGCGAGGCATGTGTACACCTGACCTACAGTACCATTACATCATCCTCTTGGTGTCTCTGTGTTATGTATTCATTGGTATATTTATCCTTCATCTATCTATGTGAGTCACCTTCCTCTTACGTGTGACCTTTTGTAGAGAGAGAGAGAGAGAGAGAGAGGCTGGGGGTCTGTCTCGTTGTCTTCCTGTTCGTCTGGTCCAGTGTACAGTATGACTACAGCAGGAGGGAAGAGGTGAGGGACGTAGGAAGAGGTGAGGGAGGAAAGGGGAGAGAGGTGAAGGGCGTGGGAAGAGGGAGGATAGTGAGAAAGGGAGGGAGGGAGGAGAGGTGAGGGAGGATAGTGAGAAAGGGAGGGAGGGAGGAGAGGTGAGGGAGGATAGTGAGAAAGGGAGGGAAGGAGGAGAGGTGAGGGAGGATAGTGAGAAAGGAAGGAAGGGAGGGAGGGAAGGTAATGTTGTGGAGGGGGAGGAGAGAAGAAAGGATTAGTAAGGGAGAGAAGTGTGGGTAGGGAGAGTAACGAGGGAGGGAGGGAAGCGGGTATGAACGTCACATCACAGTAGGTTGATTTGACTCGATGACAATTTTCCTTTTGTAGTTGGTGGTGGTTGATAGTGGTTGTAGTTGTGGTTAGTGGTAGAAGTTGTAGTAGTGGTTTTAGTTGTGATTGGTGGTGGCAGTTGTGGTTAGTTGCTGTGGGTCTTGGAAAGTCTTTTAAAAAATTCCCCTCCTATCTCTCTCTCTCTGTCCTTTCTTCTGTCTTCACTCTCTTCTTGTTTTCTTTTCTCTCTTTCTCATTCTTTATTTTCTCTATACTCTTTATTCTCTCTCTCTCTCTCTCTCTCTCTCTCTCTCTCTCTCCAGGAAAGTTTAGTACAGGGCCAGAAGTGTGACGTGATGATATGACTTGATGGTAGCGAGGCATTGTGTCTTATATGATGATGGTGGTGATATATTGCTCTTAGTAGTGGTGGTGGTAGTAATAATAGTTGTAATGGTGGTGGTAATAATAGTTGTAGTGGTGGTGGGGGGTTGTGGTAGTAGTAGGTAAACAGCGTGACCACCAGCAGTGTATAATAATAAGGTTAAGAGCCAG